ATATGTAAAAATTGAGGGTTAATTGAAGAAATTGAGCAATTATTACATTGCATAGGTTTTAATTCTCCAAAACATCAAAGTGCTTGTCCAGTAATTCCAAAAATATAACGTAGGGGGAAGTCCCGTAACGCCGGACACTTGTATTATCTCGATAACTGACAACACAAGCAATTCAATTTTACTACAAATCTTTGGTGTCTGCCACTGGGAGACTTCCCCCTAAAAATTTAACCGCTCGCGTTTTTAGTTATTGTGATAATCAAGTGTCCGGCGTTAGGTGCTGTCCGGCGTTAAGGGACGTCCCGCTGAATGTTTTTTTTATCTTTCTGTCATCATACTAAATGATAAATTAGCCTTTTGCCTATTCAAGACTTCACACATATCGCAAAAGTTGCGATCAGAGGAACAAAATATAAAAACATATTTTGAGAAATACATAAAACAGAACTGACTGAATATCTCAGATCACTCGATCAATGAAAAGATAAAAGATAAATAACACATTAATTACTTATTACGTGTAAGTAATTAAACATCATTATGAAAATGCGCCTAAACCCCAATCAATCAACCGAAACACACTCAAACAAAATAAATCGAATCACAATTAGCGAATCGGAGCTAACTACGTAAAAGTGTCTTCCAATCTGTAACAAGACTGGTAAATAGAGGTTGGATCTAATAGGACCTCTAGAGGCTCTCAAACGTTCAATCAAAATGATAGGTAATTCAGTTACACCACCACTGGACGAATGCCGTCCTATTTTGTACAGGTGAAGCGAAAAGCGTTGACGTGTTTTAATGTTAGGTAGACAGTATAAAATTAATAAAAAATATAAATCTTAGCAACGTTGTAATCATGATAGTTTCGGATAAATGTTAAATATTTAGTCATTATTACGTTTTTCGGCATAATCACTTAATTATTTGAACTAGAAGAGCGACAGTCGCCGCGTCGTGTGTCGCGGATTGCTGCTCATGAATATGAGCCTCTAACATGGCTTAAAACTAGTCCAGTTTCTCGTCGAAATGTTACGCGGGTAAGCCGAAAAACACAATAATTAATTTACGTCGTTTAATAATACGTAAACGTACGTAAGTACGTACGTACGTACGTTCGTAAAAATACGTAATTTATGTTTCACGAAAGTTATAATATACAATTTTTCGGATTACATAGGGTTTCGTCTTCTCTTTTCGGTTTGAATAAAAAGTTGTTTGATGTTTTCATTTTAAATCTTAGTAATAGCAGGGACTCTGAAATTGTGTCTGGTGTATAGCAATTAGCAGGAGACTTAATTATCTTCATAATACCTATCGTCAAACATTCTAAATCAACTAAAAAATCGCTGGTTACTCACGTGGAAATACTGAGAAAGGCTCTACTAGTTTCGAACCACAGTTACTGAGTGGGCTGTGCTACATCATTATCAGTTATTCAATCGGTGAATTAAGCCAAGGATACACCTGGGTGAAGTAGCGCGACGCTGTCGGACTTTGGTCGACGTATCTACATGTCGTGCGACATTTGTCCTGTAGTGTATCCTTGACTTTATTGTAATCGATGTCGTTAAAATGATGACCTGAATATAAATAAATATCATCATCATCATCATATCAGCCACAGGACGTCCACTGCTGAACATAGGCCTAAATAATAAATAAATATATTACTATGTACTTCGTATGTGAGTATACCCGTCGCATCGTCGACCACTACTCGTATCCCCTATTCCCTAATTAATCGTGTATCGCAGCAGTCTCCCGGGCTCCCTATGGATGACCCATCTTGATTCGATTCGATTCGTACTAATACGAACTCGCTTCTGTGTTTTATCTTAGATATAATGAATGTATGTATCTTAATCTTTATTGGTACTATTTTTCATAGGTTATTGTCGACAACTACCACTGAGCTACCACTGAGATTTTTTTTAAAAACCCAGTAGTATCTACTACTTTGCACGACCCGGAAATCAAAATCGAGACCCCTTGCCTAGACGCACTTGCGACCACACGGCCAACGTTTAAAAATTTTGTCAAAAAAAGTTTAAAATTAAAAATTCCACAGAATCCTATTGTACCTACAAAAGCCTAAGTGAAAGAGAAGGCAAAGAGACGAAAGGCGATGGAAATATCAAATGACATAAATACTATTTTAAGCTAAATGAAAACGGTGAATACTTGAAAGAGAGAGATACATAGAACACTACATATTGTTCCTTACGCCATTTACATTAAAATAACTAACGAACACTTACCCATAATCTGTATTCACATAATCCAAATTAAACATAAATAAATAACCAACTAATCAAAAAACCCACACGTGCAAGCATCCAATAAATAATAAACGAACGTAACATAGTTTAAGATTAAAACAGAAATCCTATCGTTCATCACCAGATAATACATACTTCGTTAAGCAAAGGTCATCTCAAGGGTCAAAACCAGGATTATCTGAACCTTCAGTAATTGGTTACGTTTAAGTACTTTAGCTAGTCATACTTACTGAAACTTTGTGAATAATAGATGGGTACTATGTACTTGTACCTCTATATAACTGATTGTTTAATGGACTTGATTGTGATGTGTTTCAAACTGTTCTATTAAGATGTTGTGGTATTTAGTATTTTTTGGGTTCATATTTGAATGTCAAATGAATGGTTGTTGAGTATAATATGAGAGCAGTTTTTTTTAAGAATAAGCTAAGTTTGTTAGTATGTTGTAGAGGTAGTTTGTGGATGTAGTAAAGCGTCTTCTGACCTCAACCACCAAAAAGAATGCACAGCAGCGTCAATCAACAGCAGGTGACAGGCAACTACTCACTACTATTTGCGCTTTCTCCATGTAGGAGAGTTTTTGGTCTCCAGAATTCGGTCTGCCAATTGGGTATTTGCCTTCATCAAAAAAAAAAAATATTTCGACTGTTCAATACAATAAAATATCAAAAAATAATCACGCTTTCATTATTATATGACCAACTTAATTTTAGATTTTTTCCAGCAAATTTTTAAGAAAGGGTGTGCTGTATTCTGTTTAGCGCAAAAAAAACGTGACCTCACAATACACAATCTTGTACAAAATTCATAGGAAACTGTCGTTTTTGACAGTTGGAAAAAAGTATTCTATTCGAATAGTTAGCAAGTACCCAATTAGAATTAAAAATGTAAGTTTAAAGGCTTAGAAGATCACAACGCACTGCTGTCAGCTTAGGATAGTCGCTTTGTTCAACACCACCCGTGATAAAAAAAAGAAAAAAAAGCAGTCTATTTGAAAAAAAAAATTTTTCTTTTCTGACGTCACCATCTAGTTGATAGAGCACTTCATCCCATTAATTTCCAATACATACCTGACGGATAGGTCTCTATAGGTAAGTTCTTAGGTATGTAGGTACCCACAGATAACTGAAGCATCGTATAAAGCGATATCCCTTTAATAAAGTTTCATATTACGATCCTTGAAACCATTGAAGTGTAAATAATTTTAGCTCGGTGTGAGCCTACAGATATTCGGGGTCGATCGGTTTGAGTTAAAGGAATATATTAATTCTAAAATGTATTGTAAGTATGGAGAAAATTATCTAAATTGCGTGTTCGTGTTTTTTGGATGGAGTATGTTTTTTATAGTAATAGAGATCAATCGTTGTGGCATATTTTGTTAAAATAATGTTCAATGTTGAATTGACAGATTAAATTCTCAACCTCAAGAACTTAGTTGATTAATTAAATAAAGTTAATATTTATGTATAAAACTTAAATATTTTTTTATACCTTGTTCAATTTTTTTTTTACTTTTTATGATGTCATATTAAAAAGAGACAATTGTGTGTACCATAACATAGATCTACATATACACATAGGGGTTTCAACATATAAAACAAATCTAAAATAGTAAAGCAAGAATCACCACTAACCCACTGGAAATAAAAGAATCATTCTTCAAGCTATAAAGTAATAAAAAATATAACCCGTCCAACTAATACCGAAGACGCATCCATTAAATCATTCCCACGCGTCTAAAAATTTAATTCACAAACTATCAAGTAATATGCGAACTTAACCCCCAAGAGACAACGGGCAAATTTTGCAAAAAGCAACGCGGCTCGGTACATCGGGCCGGGCAAAGTTAGCGGATGTAATCGATACGGCCTTAGGGTTTTGGGTATAAATTAGAAGTTCCATCGATCACCGACGCCCTTTGCCCATCGGCTCGTACTTTATTGATAGTGAATGTTAACCGATAGTTCACTGAGTTTCTGAACGGCATCGGCATATGTATTTTTGGCCGGGTTTATTTGTGACTGCGAGAATTCAGTCGGGTACAAATTCACTGCTATAGTATCTTTTTTGCGAACCAGTTATCAAAACTTAAACTTATCTTACATTTATCTTTTCTAACAACATTATATCTTTACACTAACCAATAAAAATAAGTGAAAGCACTAATATCAGTAAGATGAAACGATTAATAAACCCCTCAAAGCCATCCACATGACCATAGCAACGAGACTTACGGTCCACTATTAAAAATTTTATAATACAATAAAGAAGAGCATTACTTATAAAAAAGGTGCTCGGGTCTGCCTATAAACATACATAGGTAAGAAGTAAAGAGCACTTAACGTTTCCTAAAGGATACATTATTGAGGAGAGCCTTAAAAACAACATTTTTACATCCTACGGTCCTGCGGCGCATATTTTATTGCGGGTTCTTGGGATGACCCTCGGATCGGACTATGTAGACTTCGCAAGCGTAGAGAAGGATAAAAATTATTTCATATGATTCAATGTGTAATGTTTGTTTATTGATTTATCTCATGTTGTTGGTAGACAACCTGGGTAGACAACCAGGCCTTGAAGACTCAAGGCCCGAGTGAATAGGTTGCTTATGAGACGACGTGTTCCATCGTAGACCACATGATGATGGCCTACCATCAGGCGAGATAGAGGTTAAACGTCAGCCCATCAAATTAAAAAAGCTAGAAAAATGTAACCCACCTATTTTAATTTATCTTTCAACTTAATGATGTCACAAGCTCTGTGTGTGTCTTCATAATTTTTATCCATTTATGTGTAACCTGAAACAATTGAATACACAGTTATTAATGAAACTCGGGAGTCAATAAGCAATATACGAAATCTCAAAAACTGGAAAGCGAGTTATTATTTGTCCTACTTTTTTAGAACTATCCTAATTGATCGTAAGTAAAAACAAACATATGAGTATTTTTTTTGTAGGAGGACTTAATTATAACAAAACCGCTAGATATAATGTAGGCTATGTTACATTCGTACCACTATGTCGGTTACCTGGCCGGTCCCGTGAGGGCAAGGGGCCTGATGGACGGAGCTCGGCAGCGCAAGGGTTAACCTAAGTCAACGTAAATATTTGAGCGATGTATGCAAGTTTGCCTTTACGTAAGTATCAGTGTTGTTTTAAAGGTTGACATTTGTAGCGTTTTTGAGGGTTAAACTTTAGTTACGGGTGGAAAGAGTTTTGTAATCTTTGTTCGGATTGTGAAACCATCTTTGGGGTTACAAATAATAATGATTTTATACCTAAATATACGGAGTGTTTACTTTTATTTTTGTTTTGATGTAAAAGTACAAAAGGAATAAGTATGTACAATATCTACTATACCTAATAATGTAAGAGCGCTTCTAATCACACTACTTATAATATTATAAATGTGATAGTTTCTATGTTTACATGTTTTTCTGTCAAACATGCTGAAACTACTGAACGGATTCTGATGAAATTTGGTATACAGGCAGGGTATGGGCCGACTTAGGTGATAGGATATTTTTTCTCGATTAAAATGCTCTTGATAAAACAGGAATACGCATGGCAAAGCCATGGGTAAAAGCTAGTAATTTATACTTTTAAAATGTGTTTTGACATTATATAATGATTGACACTTCTTCATGATTTCATACTTCATAGCAACTAACATTAGAAATGCGTAAGTAAATTTGTATATAACTGCTTCGTTCGCCGAGTGGTCGCAAGTGCGACTGCTGGGCAAGGGCACTTGGATTCGATTCACAGGTCAGCCAAAGTATTACTGGGTTTAAAAAAAATCTCAGTAGTATCACGGAGTCTGGAATTGCGTCCGGTATATGGCAATAGGTTCACTCCCTACATGCCACTCATAACAAAAAATAGTGAAAAAGTGGGTGTTACATTGTATAGTGGCATTAAGTGCCTACCCCTTCGGAGATAAAAGGCGTGATGTTATGTAAACTTGTGTATTCTCTTCACATTTCACTTTAACCTATTTTCTGTGTACAACATGTAGTTGGTAATAGGGAGAAAATAGGCTCCCATTCATGTGCTTAAAGCCTAATTAAACGTAAAAAATAGTTCTACAGGACAAAAGTTCTACAGGACAATCAACAAAAACGACACTTAAAAAAAATCAATCTGCACAGTTGTATCCTCTAGCACCTAACCTAAAATTAAACTATAAGCTAGCATTTATTTTTATTTTAGGAACGACACGTGTATATATTTTCATGCCCTACTACATAAACAAACTACTTGAAAGCCTAATAGATGCTTTCTAACAAACACCTCTACTAGAACGCCTACGTTCCAATTTCTAAGTATACACTATACACGTGCATTGCAAACTTGTGTAGGATATATGTGTAGGATATTAGGCAACATATTGCCTACTGGCATTGACTATACTAATTGAATATCAGTTGTAGAAACGCTTTAATGAGCAGCATTATATTTCAGGGCATATTATGTATGCAAACTTACAGCTAGGTATAACATAAGCATAGATAAAATTATAGATATACGACGAATTGCAAGTTTTCGCTTATAGGTCAATTAAATTACCAGTTTGAATAGACAGCCTGCGACGCAAAAAACTGATTTAAAAAATAAAAAGAAAGAAATCGTGATGGGTAAAACAGACTTTATATATTTAGTAGTGTGTAACTCTTATATTGGCTTGTTTAGTCGCTCGCGAACTCCAAAACTACATGAACTGCTTGTGTCCATATGGTTATACACTGTATTCTTAAGCATACCCATATGCATCGTATTTAGTATCAACTACTTAGGAATTCTAGAAATAGATAAGAAGAAAAAAGAAATAGATTCTAGTCGTGGTGGCCTGGAGTTTTATGATGTCCGCTTCTCATGCATTAGGGTTTGGGTTCGAAACCTACCAACGGTAAGCACTAATGTGACATTTTCCGCGCTATACGTCCTTTTCAATATTTAAACGCCACTAACAAACGGTAAAGGAAAACATCGTCAGGAAACCTGGGCTTATAATGTCTAATTATAAGTTTGAAATTGCCAACCCGCATTGAGCAAGCGTGGTCATTAATATAACTTCAAATCTTCTCCATGTAAGACAAGGCCGTTGGTCAGCAGTGGCTAAGGCTAATAAGGGATAAAAAAATAAAAAATAAAAGAATATGGCAAAAGAACTAGGAAGCCCAGAGGAATGATAATAAGGAATATATTTTGTGGCTATCATAACAAATAAGCATAAAAAATCGCTTTTTAAAGACTTCCCACTTCTATTGTTTTACGAAATATAACTTTAAATACAATCTAAAATAGTACCAAAACAGCAATAAAACTAAATTCCTATAAAGAAAACATAACATGAAGCACATTACAGTAATGAAACGAATATACAAACAAACTGTTCGACTCGGACTGACAAACGGGAGGGTACCTACGTGAAAATTACGCGGAGTTTTATCCCGGGTTCGAACCCCGAGCTGTCCCTTGCGGCCGCCGGCCGAAAACTTTACCTTTGACCCTACATAAGAAATATATGGAGCTGTTTATTCGTATCTCAAGAAATTATATTTTTGATAAAATAAAGCGAAGTTTCTTATCTTTACTCAATACTAAATACTTTATTGCATTCCATAATGTATTTTACAACAGTTGCCATTGTTACAGAAACAATTATGGACCCTGTCGGGCACAGCAAAAGTAGTTTTTTGTAGAGGAGAAGATGAAGAGCACTAAAATTGAATATATTGAATTTAACTTTAACTGCAGAAATACTGAATGAATTAATTAATGCCAGTAGTATTAAGAGACCACATTAAGGAAAGAGATTAATTAGATTCAGATGCAATTGTAGCATTCCTTAAACCAATCTAACTAAAAAACTCTTTAAAATATACTTCATAGAGAATGTTCTCAATATTCCAGCTGCAAACATAATCATTAAATTATGAAGGAACAATCGCACAACTTTCTTATTCCGCCATATTTTTTCCGTGGAACTATCAACTCTAAACATTTCCACGACCAGCCTCAAGGTTTGGGGGCATCTCCAGTATTCTTATCTACTTACTTGGCATCTATAGCTGAACGAGCCTCAGGAGACCAGGCCCCGCCTCTTATGACCTGTCAATGACTAGTAAAATTTAGAACCGACCCGCCATTGATATAAATGTTTTTTTGTTCCCAAAACGACCCTTGAAATTGTAATTTAGTGAGGTGTTCGAATGAGATGTTGTATCGAAGTATTTCGAAGTGTTGTAATATCCATTCAAGTTGATGATATTATTCTTGTTTCTAGCATTGGAGATGTTTTTTGTTGTTTTCTGTGGACATTTGTGTGGAGTGTGATTTTTGTGTAATGTTCACAAAATAGAGTTCAGATTTCTTAAAGACTATATATTAATAGTATGTATGGCAACTACTTGAGGGTTACTAACGGTCAGTTTCAATAACCTATCTATCTGTAGATTTACTTACTGTAGGTGGAATTCCGACATGAGCTCCATAGAAAATGTGTAAAAAGTTATTGGAACTGGCCCTTCGTCTTACAAACGAACTTAAATAAGACTAAACATTGTTAGTGTTACGAACTTATCTCTGATTTTGTAGCATATTAACAATGTTTATAATTCCAAACTGACATCGACATTTGATTTGATTTGGTTTAAAATTCGATCAGGTATTTTATGATGAACAACGATGCAGTGGCAGAGTTAGTTACTTAAAGATTAAATATAAATTTAACCAGTGACAACATCGACACATGAGTTACTCAAAATCGATCCTTAAATGGACTACAGAACATTAAAAATTCCTCTTACGCCTTTAAATATTCCTATCGCGTCCTGGCCGAGAGATTCAACGCACGCTTGCATGATGCATATCAGTCTACAAATCTGCAACATATTAAATTCCGAACGGATTTTTAACGTTCACTCGCGTGCTTACATTTATACACTGACAATTATATGTATGTGTGCCGTGTAAAATATGATACGAAACGTTTCGCGAGTTGAAAGTATGTTGTTATATATTTTTATGCTGTTAAAAATTGTATTCAGTTATGTTTCTGCTGTCTGAGTTTTGAAAACTATGTATATATGTTGGTAATGTAGGGACTAGTCAGATTTATTTACTATGCGTCACTTAACAAAAGTTTCGTGTTGCCTTTTTTTTTCAGAACTAGCCGAAATCCTAAAGTTACTGATGATGTTATATTAACTTTTACAGAATTGGTGTGTGATTAAATGCGCATATTTTTTAAAGTCCAAATTCATGGCTTTAATGATTAGTATGTTTATCTGGATTAATCAACTACATACCTATACTTAACCCGAAAAGTTCTGTAGACTCCCAACTTTCGGTAGACATTGAAAAACACAGCATAATCTTAATCGAAACCAAATTTTTTTCTAATTTTTATATACTTCTTACATCCATACGCATTCGAAATTCAACAGTATTTTTCGCAAATCGCACCTGGCGATTTGTCCAACCAATAGCTGACCGGTTTTCCCCTGTACGTTCCTTTCTACTGACCAATGACCGACCGGTTTCTCATGTCGCGTGCGTGCCCAGTTTGACCACTAGGGGAGCACCCCACGCGTAACCGTCGCGCGTGGACTACTCGATTAAAATTTACACCGTATAAACATCGAATGGACCACGGATGGTTAAGAATCACAGATAAAAAATCCTTTATGATTTCGATACAGGTATTTAAAGGACAAAAGATGTGACACGTACACATTTATTTGACCACTTACTGGCCACAAAGGGTCGTATGAAGATTTTTCTCCCTTGTTA